GATGAATTAGATGTTGGAGGAGCGTCGCAGGATCAGTGATGAATTAGATGTTGGAGAAGCATCGCAGAATCAGTGATGAATTAGATGTTGGAGGAGCGTCGCAGGATCAGTGATGAATTAGATGTTGGAGGAGCGTCGCAGGATCAAGTGGAAGCTGGTTGAGGTATATACTATAGGTATGCATAATTAGTGCATGTGCATGCTGCATGGCATTGGATCCTCCTTGTGGTCTAACCTAGTACATTCACACATCAAGTGGCATTTCAACCTTTTCGACTATGCATGATAACAGGAAATTTCTCACAGCTCTTATGAGGGCATTTTTCGAGTTTTCTCGATAAAAAAATTCCTAGTTTTGTCACTTGTGTGAATAAGTGTGAAATCCAACGACGTAGCGTCTGCGTATGCATGATGGCTTTAAAGCGTTCAAAAGAAACTAACAAAATGCAATTTGTTAGAGAAAATATCGAATTCGTATTAGCCTAAGTTTAGATTAATACGAAGGTAATCGCAAGTACTTATATGATTATATAAGTTCTCTGTTCAGCCTGTTATAATGCGTTTCGAAGGACCGTCCGTCAGTGGCAACAAAAATTATACCTTAGCATGGAATTTTGAAGTGAAAAAAAATAAGTGCTTTGCTGTTTAGACACTAGTACTCCTCTTTTTCCCTTGTTCGTATTAATTTTTTGGTTTGCAGTTGTAAGCTTTGAAAAATCCGATTAATCCCGAACATGAAGGAAATAAACGTAATCTAATCACTTTCACTAACTTGATGAAATTTGTATAAGAGGAGAAAACATACCTCCCAAATTGCATTGCATGATAACTGGACTTATAGTGGGGGGTATCTCGAGGTAAAATGTTTAAACTGTAGGTTTAATATTGTATAGTACTCTCTTGCATGAAAAACAAACCCTCTAAGAAAAACCTTTGCATTTTGACACACTTACTATGTTGTTTAATTTCTTACACGCCCAACCGTCGAGATGCTGTTGAAGAAGAAGATAACTGTTTGGAGTGGAGCAATGAAGCAAGTGAAATTCGATACATTGTTTACCAAAGGTAATTATACGTTACGAAAATTTAAAGGTACGGGAACATTATTGATTAGCCATATTGAGTAAGTTGCATGTTCAGCCCGATTACGTTTATTTCCTTCATATTCGGTCAACCGTAATCCAGAACGTATAAAATAAAAATAAAAACAGTCATGAGGCATGTCTTAAAAAAGGGGTAGAAGAAAAGTGTTATCGTCTACATCAGTTTGATATGAAAAAGCATGCAAGTCGTGAATACGAAGTATTTTTTTATCATAAAATGAACATTTGAATAATTCGGAAATAATTTTCGTTGCCATTGTCGGACAAAGCGCAGTTGAATGTCTAACAGCATGATGTTTTGCGCGCTCTAAATGTGCGCGCGCTCCGTAGGTTAGACCACCAGAAGAATCGAATTAACGAGGATCAAGAATTGCATGGCAATTCCTGGGACTCGGTTTGAAATTAGCCGAGCTGAAACGATGAATTATAGATAAAAACTGAGTTGCATGTCATTGCGGACGATTTCTAATAAAAATACCAAATTCGGACCGCCGGTCAGGTAACCTGAAATTCCGGTTACCTTTGGAGGGTTTTTCACCGGGCACTCCGGTTTCCCTCCTTTTCGTTTGGCTTTAAAAAAGAGTGTCCAGGCCTGGAGCCAAACCAAAACGTGTTGTTTGATAGTGATAAAAACGCGTTTGTGGCTTCTGGGTTCGATTCCCAGAACACTGTCGTAAAAGAATTTTAAAAAGATGGTTGTGCAATCATTACTTAATTTACGTAAAAAATAGGAAATATCTGGCATTGGGATTAGCACGTAATAGGTCCTCATGGTCAGGGCCGCGGGGATAGAGCACTGTCAAGGGGGAGGGCATCTCCTGTACTCCAAAAACCTGGGAACGAAGGATGGGGGGGCATCTCCTCCCCCAAGAAAATTGTGAAATTTACCAGGCCTCCTGTTTAAAAACCACTGTTTAAAACATTGTCTTTGAGGTAATAAAAGGCAGTTGAACCTACAATCTAGACGAAACTCAGTCTTTGCACTTGCAGTCTCGAAGAAGTTCGGGAAAAGTTGGAAGTCTTGCTTAGGTACATGGTGATATTCCTGCCGATTTTTACTGCTTTATCTTGTATATTTCGGTTGAAAATGTCAAATGCAAGTGAGCGGTTACTTTAATTTAGTGTTTCCGTGCTTATTTGATTTCAGAGCGAACTATGGCGCCGAAAGATGGGGAAGGAAAAACGTAAAGGCTTTCTCGCAGCAAATAATAGATATTATTCTATTAATATTTGTCTATTTTGCATTTGTGACTTGAAAAAACACGTTGTGTGTGTTCGTGGTACTCCTTCTTGGAGAACTGTAAACATTCCTTCAACTACAGATATCTCGTTGTCGGAATGGAACTCTAATATAAGATAAAGTAGTTTTCTCTTTTATATCTAAGTTTATATGCGTTTTTTTCTTTTGTATTGTGCATGCTTTATAAAAGTATATGATATCGAATATACTTTTTTTGATATTAAAACTGGCAAAAAAATAAAAAATTTCAACCGCTCTTCACCGCAATTTCGGCTCTCTTCACCGCAATTTCCACCGCTCTTCACCGCAATTTCCACCGCTCTTCACCGCAATTTCCACCGCTCTTCACCGCAATTTCCACTGCTCTTCACCGCAATTTCCACCATCGCTCTTCACCGCAATTTCCAGTCGCTTCTACGCATGTGCGAGCTTTGTTTACATTTTTCGTTTTGGTGTGAATCCATTTCATTTGCACAACATGAAGTATCCAGAAAACTAAATTAAAATGGCGGACGCATCAAGAGTGAAGAGTGGAGCTTTATAAAACCATTCAACAATTGTCTTTTAAAACAACCAAATAAATATTTTGAAAAACAACTACTGGAAGATATCTCCTGTAAGTTTGTCGATTTTATCTAAGTTTGAGATACTGTGTATAATTATGTTTACAGTGATTGTTGGATGATTATTAAATTTGGATAAAAGATTATACTCAGATAATGATTTTGTTTATAAAATACCTTCGTACTCCGTTCTAATATTGCAGGATTCAGATTTATGAGCAAGACAATCGTGCTTCAATGGTCAAAGTAGCTCTTCTGAGTGTGTTTCATCAGCGACATCAACGCCATGTGGGTCAACATCACTGAATGAAACTGCTTCAATACGAAAGCTTACAAGTGAAGATATAGATAGAAGAGAGGATTTTGATGGCGAGTATGGTTATCGAATGATTGAACTTTCAAACCTAGCAAGTGCATTTCAGTCCTTGCATAATTGGGAATTAGGTGGAGAGTTGAAAGTTACCAATGATGAGTCTCGTAGATATGGAAATAGCAGTCATTGTTGAGTCAGATGTTGCAGAGATTGCTGTGAGTTATGATGGCACATGGGCTAAGCAAGGGTTCACTGCAAACTTTGGAATTGATTTTATTATTTCTGTTGACACTGGTTAGGTTCTTGACTATGGTTTTGGATCCAAATTATCGAAGTTTGACATGTATGTATTTGATATATTATTGATAATTGGTGATAAAGTTGCCAACCTTAGTATAAATTAATATATGCTAATCACTGAGTAGCGTGTACGCGCGCAGAACACGAGTGTTGGGCTACCTATCATATTACATGTTGTTTCACCATTCGTTCTCTCACTTCTCTGAGCAAGAAACAATCCCGAAAATTCAACCACATTCACCACAAAGAACAACCACGCCTCGTGTTTTAATAAGTCACTGTTGGTTTCTTATTCTTGATTTACTCAACTATATGGATCGCTTCTGACGCTTCACCCTCGCAAAATTTTGTAGATGCTTTAATATTTGTGCATGGTGAGACTGAAGTGAAGACTTCTGAAAATCGGACAATTAATTGATAATTGTCATGTAATTTCCTGGTATAACATCTCAACCTAAACATTGTAGTTAGAATATAATAACAATATCAACCTCAAATTCAAGATAATATTTTGTATGCAATCAAGCAAAATTTGGAAATGCTGGTTGTTAATTTCACTGCAATTATTACACAAGATATAATTACAATCCTTTATTATTACCAAATCCTGTTAGAATTGCTATCACATGTGAATGCAATATAATTTTTTTACACAATCATTATTTAATTATTGTTTTCAGCATAAATTATGCCTTAGGAGGCCTTCTCCAGACAATATTTATTGCAAGCTACATGATATTTGCTCCAATATTCGGCTATATTTGTGAAAGATACAGTTGCAAGCTCATTATGATCTATTGCCTCGTTATCTGGTCCTTAACAACATTTTTTAGCACACTACTTAATAAACACCTATGTAAGCTTTTACTGATTTCATAGAGTGAGTTAGAAGTGAGATATGTTAAAAACAGAAGGAAAATGCTGGGTTAATGAATAGTTTGCAGTATATTTTTACCAAACCTAACCAACTGCAGAATTTAGCACTGTAATTAGAACTTCATCATCACAAATTATTTCTTGCAACTCATTATCAAAAAAATTATTATGTTTAAAATCCTCTGGGCTATTTTAATCAGATAATTTAAAATGGACACTCATGAAGCACAATTCCACATGGTATAATAATGGACTGCAGTATAATATGCACCCTTCTGTGGCTTCCTTAATATTTTACTATAGAAATTTTATTTGTGCCATAAAATTGTGGAAAAATTACAGTGCATGTGTAATTCAAATGTTGTTGCCTAAATGATTCGGGAGCATTTTGTTGTTCGTCAATGGCAATTGCTGTGACAATATTTAAGCCTAAATATAATGGGGTGCATTGTACCTTTTCAGCTACCTTTTTTGGCAGCTCATTTTGGATGTCATCAGTGCACAAAGGCACCTGATGCAAACCATGAGCAAAATAATCGAACACCCACTGTGCCATAAAATTCGGTGCAAGACCCCTTGCACAATTCTGCAAGCCATCAGCATTCCAGCTGCCTTAAAATAACACTCTGTGAGTGATATGGTGCTCGGTACAGGAACACCACCTTCAAAAAGTCTGATTTTCATTTGATCCAAGGTTTCTATTATTTCATTTTGGGCAATATTTTAAGGATTAGGCTGCTTTGATGTGTAATATTGAATAATATATATAACGCATGCACTTTAAGGTGAATATCATAGCGAATTGGCAACATATCGACCTAAAAAAACATGTATCCACTGAGGACAATTTCTTCTTTAAAGGGGTCCAATTTTATTAAAATCGGTCAAGTATTCGCACAGGAATCGCAAATTAAAATCAGCAAACTACTTTGAATTATCACCGGAGTTTATCGGCATTATCATACCATGTGATCTTCTACGATTGTCAGCAAAGTTGAAGATTGTTCGAAGGAGTTCGCCGTTGACTAAAAGGTGGGTTCTGGCTTGAGTTCTTTGACTTGCTGTATGCTGCCACGGTGGGGGTTTCTTTCCTCCGCTGGGGTGGTATGCAACGATCATTGCACTCTGCTAGTTCCCACTGAATTACTGAATGTAGCTCAGGGTTTCTTTGCTTTTTTTCGTTGTATATAGGTTTATCTGAACAGCCAGTTGTCAAAAGATGAAGTAGAAATATTTTCTTAAAGCTGTGACAGTTTAATATCAGTTCAACTGATTCAGTTGGGAAACTTGTGGAGGTGAATTTCAAAATCGCGATGCCACAGAGATGATGCCATGTGGACCTTGTGGCTTTCACCTTTGTGGGAAAGCTGGTCGTGCTGTGTGTTCAAAGTTAAGTATTTTGTTTTCCTCTTAATCTTCTAAAGCAAATCGTTTGGTCAGAAATAATGCAGAAAACCATGTACAATATAAAATACTCTTCCTAAAAAGCTAGCTAATTCAGCTTCGATTTTAATACGAATTTTCCCTTTTAAAATCTAGAATGAAGATGAAGCCGATTTCGAGGGAATCTTTCAACGCGCTAGCCAGTAAAGGTATTAAATTCATAACATTTTAGTGATATATGGCATGTTACATTGTACGCCCAGAAAGTAATATGGCTCTTTTTTAAATCCTTCTTTAATTTGCCGTGCTGGATGCTGTATTTCCCTGGATGAAGGGATACTTAAGCTTGAAATCATTTGAACAAAATTAAAAAAGTTATAATCTTCTCTGCCATGTGTTTATTTGTAAGTAATTTATTACCTGGGCAAGTAGCGATTTTAGTTTAAAATGGCAGCATTCTGTCAAAGTGACCTGTAGAACTGACTGCTTTTGCTTTGTAAAACAGCCACACCTTTATTCATTGAAATTCATGTACTTAATCATAGTTTGACCTGTGCTTTGTTTTTTGTTCAAGATTTGTGTTGGATATGTTCCTGTTTCTTCAGGAGCCAAGATAAGATTGTTTCCTTTTTACATGAGAATTATATTGGTTTTATAATGTAGAAAGCTATATTAATTAATTCCCAAGGACATTGTACTAGCTGTTTAGTAACTGGAAACTTTCAGGCTTTAAATTCATGAATTGAAGCCACATATTGAATATTAATACTCAAATAAGTACTACTCATCTTATTACATCTGCTTAATGTTGCTCCAGTATGTGTGATCAATCCAGATGCATTTACCTTATATTTTGGATGTAAGGAAAATTGCTAGCACTTTACTCTTCATGAAATCTGATGGGGAAAAAACCAACCAACAATTACTACATCAAGATAGTTGAGTAACCTTTCCATTTTACAGTCTACATAAAGTTTACTATAATATGGTGACTTATGCTTATTATTTGTAACATTCTCAGGTTACCTAGTGGCCACGTTGCATTTTGAGATATATACTTTGATGATTGGAATTTACCCTCTTCGATAGCCAAGGTAAGATTCTTTCCTTGCACAGGACACTTATGTATCATAGGTTATAATGTAGCCAGAAATTTATATAGGTATATAATAATTTCTCAAGCAAATTGTACAATATGCCTAGCAACTGGGAGCTTGCTACTACCCAGGAAATATATTGCGTTGGTGAAAAAAATACCATATATACTGATGTACGAAGACTTTATATATATATATATACTGATGCACGAAGAGTTATGATATATACTGATGCATGAAGAGTTATATATATATATATATATATATATTATATATATATATATTATATATATATATTATATATATTATAATATATATTATATATATATATATATATATATATATTTGTTACGAGATGCAGGCAGTCCTTATATTGTGGGTTTGGTATGTAATATACAATTTGTTTTACCTAAAGCCATGAATCACAAGAGAAATATTTTCAGCTAGCTAGCAACCCATATCATGTTTACCAGTTCAAAATTTTGCACCTATGCCAAAAAGCCGACAAATGTATTTTTAGGCATTTCTTCATCATTCATGGTAACCAACCGAATACCAGGTTCAAAGAATTCAAACAAGCTGCATTGCTGACCTTTTTGTCTCTGGTAGAAGAACACGAATGTTGGCTTTGTTTTATTTTGAAATCCCTGTTGGCAGGTGAGAAAGATCATTATTCAGTTTTATCTGACTCCAGGATATTTCTGATATGTTACGCTGGTAGGTGATTTTTAAAAAAAGATGTTGTTTACTGCAGGATAAACTGTTTAGAACTGATAGAATTATCCAGTATAAATATACTTAGTTTGTGTAGGTTAGTTTCTGCAGTAAACACTGAATCAATAAGAGATGATCCAGTATTCCTGGGCTTCAAAATATATTGTTCTTTCTTATGTAAGTTAAACATGTATTTCTGAAATTATAAGAATTTAATATTTCGGTAAAGACATTTCTATAATATAATTGTTAGCAGTTGTCTTGTTTCTTTGTAGATATAGACAGAGCCACAGCATCGGCATTACAAATCCTACTATCGCATTTGTTAGGAGATGCTGACAGTCCTAATGTTGTGGGTTTGGTATGTAATATACAGTTTGTTTTACCTAAAGCTATGAATCACAAGAGAAATATTTTCAGCTAGCTACAATCATTTTTAAAAGTAGTTGGGACACCTACTATTTTTAGCTAAAATCTACTATATAGGATGATTTCCATACATACCCCCTCCCTCCCCCCAATCAATGTTGGTTTTCAAATCCAAACACGTTTCGGAACAAAATGTCCGTCTATTTGGGACACAACATTGAAAAGGGGGCGCGAGGGATCTGGGTTTGTCTTATAAATCGTTAATTAATTTGGCTACCTGTCCCAACTCTTTTGAAAATGATTGTAGCAACCCATATAATGTTTACCAGTTCAAAATTTTCACCTATGCTAAAAAGCCAACAAACATATTTTTAGGCATTTCTTCTTCATCATTCATGGTAACCGACTGAATACAAGGCTTAAACAATTCAAACAAGCTGCATTGCTGACCTTTTTGTCCCTGGGAGAAGAACACAAAGTTGGCTTTGTTTTCTTTTGAAATCCCTGTTGGCAGGTGAGAAAGATCATTATTATAAGTTTTGTCTGTCTCCAGGATATTTTTGAAAGTATTACTATTATCAAGACTAGCTTATTTCATTGTCTTAACTTTATAATGAAAACTTTTTAGTGGTCTCTCGGGATGTTGTTGGTTCAAAAGTATCTTCTGCATTTAGTGGTGACTTTTTTATAATAGAGAAAACACAGGGTATGTAAACATGTGAAATTAACATGTTATTACTAGATGTGTTTCTGGTAACTCCAATATTGGGTGTGCTTCTTATCATCTTGTGCTTTATATCTGTTGTTGAACCTGTCTAGGGGCAAATTGAAAAGAGTCAGGGTGATATCGTTACAGACAAGGATGTTATCATTTGTCGTTCATGGTTGAATGATGTGAAACATATGTTACGCTGGTAGGTGATTTTTAACAACCGATGTTGCTTACTGCAGGATGAACTGTTTTAGAACTGATAGAATTATCCAGTGTAAATATAGTTAGTTTGTGTAGGTTTCCTGATGTAGTAATGCAGAATCAATAAGAGATGATCCAGTATGCCATTCTTGGTTATGCCATTGATCCTGGCTTCAAAATATATTGTTCTTTCTTACGTTAGTTAAACATGTATTTCGGAAATTATATAAATTTAATATTTCTGTAAAGACATTTCTATAATATAAGTGTTAGCAGTTGTCGTGTTTCTTTATAGATACAGACAGAGCCGCAGCATCGGCATTGCAAATCTTGCTATCACATTTGCTAGGAGATGCTGGCAGTCCTTATATTGTGGGTTTGGTATGTAATATATAATTTGTTTTACTTTAAGCTATGAATTACAGACACGCCCACTTAATCTAATTATGACGTCACTTCTAGTCAGCGAGGCTTATTTTGCTACTTCCTTACGCTTTGACTTTCAACTTTCGATACTTTAAGGGCGTGGTCAAACACGCCCACTTAATCTAATTATGATGTCACTTCTGGTTCGCAAGGCTTATTTAGCTACTTCGTTACGCTTTGACTTTCCACTTCTGATTTTTTGTGGGCGCGGTCAAACACGCCCACTTAATCTAATTATGACGTCACTTCCGGTCAGCAAGGCTTATTTTGCTACTTCCTGATGCTTTATCTTTCCACTTCCGATTTTTTGTGGGCGTGGTCAGACACACCCACTTAATCTAATTATGACGTCACTTCCGGTCAGCGAGGCTTATTTTTCTACTTCCTTACACTTTGACTTTTTATTTGGGGGTTATTTGGGGTTTTTTAGGGGTTATTTTGGGTAATTTGGGGTTATTTGGGGGTTATTTTAAGGGTATTTTGCATTATTAACGGTTATATAGGGTTATTTGTGGTTACGTAGGGCTATTTAGGGTTATTTGGGGGGTATTTGGGGTTATTTAAGTTATTTGGAGATATTTTAGGGGTTATTTGGGATTATTTGGGGGTTATTTTAGGTTATTTTGGGGGTTACTTGGGGTTATTTGAGGGGTTATTTTGCAATTATTTTGCATTATTTACGGTTATTTGGGGTTATTTGAGGTCACTCAGGGCTATCTAGGGTTTCTTGGGGGGTTTTGGGGGTTATGTTAGGGTAGTTGGGGTTATTTGGGGTTATTTAGGTGTTATTTAGGAAGTTTGGGGTTATTTAGGGGTGTCTTGGGGGTTATTTAGGGTGCTTTGGGGTTTTTTATGGTTTCATAGGGTTACATACGATTACTTAGGCTTATTTGGGGTTATTTGGCGGTTATTTAAGGTTATTTGGGGGTTATTTGGGGGTTATTTATATTTATTTTAAGGGTTTTTTAGAGTTATTTGGGGGTTATTTGGGGTTTTTTGGGGTTTTTTGGGGGCTATTTGGGGTTGTTTAAGGGTTATTTAGGGGTTTTTTGGGGTTACTTGGGGGTTATTTTTCGGTTATTTAGCATTATTTACGGTTATTTAGGGTTATTTAGGGGTTTTTTTAGGGTCTTTTTGGGGTTATTTGGGGATTATTTGGTGTAATTTGGGGTTAATTAAGGGTAATTTGGGGGGTTATTTAGGAGTTATTTTGGGGTTATTTAGGGTTATTTGGGGGTTACTTAAGGGTTACTTGGGGATTACTTGGGTGTAATTTGGGGTTATTTGGGTTATTTGGGGGTAATTTGGGGTTATCTAGGGGTGTTTTGGGGGTAATTTGGGGGTTTTTGGGGGCGTTTTTTTAGCATTTTTTAAGATTATTTAGGGTTTTTTGGGGTTATTTAGGGTTCGTTTGTGGTTATTTTGGGGATTATTTAGGGTTATTTTAGGGATTATTTAGGGTTACCTGGGGGTTATTTGGGGGTTATTTTGGGTTATTTGGGGGTTTTTGGGGGATTTTTGGGGGATTTTTGGGGGATTTTTGGGGGATTTTTGGGGGATTTTTGGGGTTATTTAGGGATTATTTGAGATTATTTGGGGTTATTTGGGGATTATTTGGGGTTATTTGGGGTTATTTGGGGTTATTTGGGGGTTATTTTGCGGTTATTTTGCATTATTTACGGTTATTTAGGGTTATTTGAGGTTACTTAGTGTTATATAGGGTTATTTTGGGTAACTTGGGGTTATTTTAGTGTTATTCGGGTTTTTTTGGGGTTATTCATGGTTATTTGGGGGGTTATTTTGCGGTTATTTAGCATTATTTACTGGTATTGTAGACTCAGTACAGAAATCGTGTGACTCAATCAATGGCTGCAGTTGCGTGTGTCAAGGAAGGGCTGAGATTCTGGTATGAAGACCAACTGGAAATACTTCGTGGATTTTGAGATTACAAAATCGGCTAAACTCGATGAAACACAAACTTCACGACCAGCTGTTGGAGAGACAGAGATGTAAGAAAGTTTAATTCCAAAACAATTCTTTGGTAAGCTCATTTATTTGTGAACTTAATATTGTTTTTTAAAAGTTCTCGGTCAAATTGTGCTCTGAATGATTTCTCCCACAACTTGTTAACGAACTGTCAAACCTTATCAATGTTTCGGTTGGGCATTTCCGTTGGCGGAATGTTGAATTGATATTGTTGTATCTCAGATGATTTATCGGCCGAACTCATTAAAGAAGGAGCCAGACAACACCTTGAAACTACAACAGAACTTCTTAGCAAGAGCGCAGACAGCGATAAATTGATTGTAGATCTTGTCAAAGATCGTCTTGCATCTCGTAGAGAGGATGAGGAAACTAATATTGAAGATACCCGGAATAATGTTGAAATGAAAATCGAACTCAAGGAGTAAGATTTGTGATGTTAAAAAAGATCGGCCATTGTTCGCGCATTTACGAAATGAACAAATTATCTGCTTATATTTTAGACAATGCAGAACAAAAGGTGCTGCTCACATAACAGGGCGGATCTTCACCCTCGTCAATTTTATTACAAGATTCCGGTCAAAAGTTGAATCTTGGTTCGTCGTTTGTTCAACGAACTCGATATTCGAGTCGTAGTCTGAGAGATGGACCAAGCACTTTTATAGTAAGAATTTCTTTTCAAACTCGCTTTGTGTGAAATTTATTTCGTGGAAGCCCTTTGATTATCCATCCCCTATATTGCTTCTAACATGACTGGCAGGGAAAGCAGAAAAGAAAGATATCTCTGATTTAGACTAGCTTTGTTATTTTACAATTGTTTCTTTAGCTTCTTGATGTCGTACCAGATTCCAAAGACAGTGTTTTATACAAGGAAGAAACTGAAGGCAAGCGAAATTACCCTTTCAATATGGTGAAATTCAAAATGGCGGTGCAACAGAGATGACGCCATGTGGATCTCGTAGTTTTCACCTTTGTGAGCAAGCTGGTCGTGCTGTGTGTTCAAAGTTAAGTATTTTGTTTTCCTCTTAATCTTCTAAAGCTAATGGTTTGGTCAGAAATAATGCAAAAAACCATGTACAATATGAAATACTCTTCCTAAAAAGCTAGCTAATTCAGCTCCAATTTTAATACGAATTTTCCCTTTAAATATCTAGCATGAAGATGAAGCCGATTTCGAGGGAATCTTTCAACGTGCTAGCCAGTAAAGGTATTAAGCTCATAACATTTTAGTGATATATGGCATGTTACATTGTACGCCCAGAAAGTAATATGGCTCGGCTTTTAATCCTTCTTTAATTTGCCGTGCTGGATGCTGTATTTCCCTGGATGAAGGGATACTTAAGCTAGAAATCATTTGAACCAAATTAAAAAGGTTATAATCTTCTCTGCCATGTGTTTATTTGTAGGTAATTTATTACCTGGGCCAGTAGCAATTTTAGTTTAAAATAACAGCATTCTGTCAATGTGACATGTAAAACTGACTGCTTTTGCTTTGTAAAACAGCCACACCTTTATTCGTTGAAATTCTTGTACTTAATCATAGTTTGACCAGCACTTTTTTTTTGTTCAAGATTTGTGTTGGATATGTTCCTGTTTCTTCAGAAGCCAAGGTAAGATTGTTTCCTTTTCACATGAGACTTATATTGGTTCTATAATGTAGAAAGTTATATTAATTATTAATTAATTCCCAAGGAAATTGTACTAGCTGTTTAGTAACTGGAAACTTTCAGGCTTTAAATTCATGAATTGAAGCCACATATTGAATATTGATACTGAATTATGTACTATTCATCTTATTATATCTGCTTAATGTTGCTCCAGTATGTGTGATCAAACCAGATGCATTTACCTTATATTTTGGATGTAAGGAAAGTTGCTAGCACTTTACTCTTCATGAAATCTGATGGGGGAAAAACCAACCAACAATTACTATATCAAGATAGTAACCATTCCATTTTACAGTCTACATAGAGTTAACTATAATATGGTGACTTATGCTTATTATTTGTAACATTCTCAGGCTTCCTAGTGGCCACGTTGCATTTTGAGGTATATACTTTGATGATTGGAATTTACCCTCTTCGATAGCCAAGGTAAGATTCTTTCCTTGCACAGGACACTTATGTATCATACGTTATATAATGTAGCCAGAAATTTATATAGGTATATTAATTTCTCAAGCAAATTGTACTAAATGTTTAGCTACTGGGAGCTTGCTACTACCCAGGAAATATATTGCCTTGGTGAAACAAATACCATATATACTGATGTACGAAGAGTTTATATATACTGATGCACAAAGAGTTATTATATACTGATGCACGAAGAGTATGAAGAGTTATTAAATATAGCTAGCAACCCATATCATGTTTACCAGTTCAAAATTTTGCACCCAACCTAATACCAGGTTCAAATAACTCAAACAAGCTGCATTGCTGACCTTTTTGTCTCTGGTAGAAGAACACGAATGTTGGCTTTTTTTTATTTTGAAATCCCCGTTAGCAGGTGAGAAAGATCATTGTTAAGTTTTATCTGACTCCAGGATGTATTTGATATGTTATGCTGGTAGGTGATTTTAACTGATAGAATTATGCAGTATAAATATAGTTAGTTTGTGTAGGTTTCTTGCTGTAGTAAACACTGAATCAATAGGAGATGATCCAGTATGCCATTCCTGGCTTCAAAATATATTGTTCTTTCTTATTTTAAGTTAAATATGTATTTCTGAAATTATATAAATTTATTATTTCGGTAAAGACATTTCTATAATATAATTGTTAGCAGTTGTCTTGTTTCATTGTAGATATAGACACAGCCACAGCATCGGCATTGCAAATCCTACTATCACATTTGTTAGGAGATGCTGGCAGTCCTAATATTGTGGGTTTGGTATGTAATATACAGTTTGTTTTACCCAAAGCTATAAATCACAGGAGAAATATTTTCAGCTAGCTAGCAGCCCATATAATGTTTACCAGTTCAAAATTTTCACTTATGCCAAAGAACCAACAAACGTATTTTTAGGCATTTCTTCTTCATCATTCATGGTAACCGACTGAATACAAATTTAAACAATTCAAACAAACTGCATTGCTGACTTTTTTGTCCCTGGAAGAAGAACACAAATGTTGGCTTTGTTTTCTTTTGAAATCCCTGTTAGCAGGTGAGAAAGATCATTATTATACATTTTATTTGTCTCCAGGATATTTTTGAAAGTATTACCATTATCAAGACTAGATTATTTCATTGTCCTAACTATATAGTGAAAACTTTTTAGTGGTCTCTCAAGATGTTGTTGGTTCAAAAGTATCTTCTGCATTTAGTGGTGAAAATTATTTTATAATAGAGAAAACACAGGGTATGTAAACATGTGAAATAAACATGTTATTACTTGATGTGTTTCAGGTAACTCCAATCTTGGGTGTGCTTCTTATCATCTTGTGCTTTATATCTGTTGTTGAACCTGTCTAGGGGCAAATTGAAAAGACTCAGGGTGATATCGTTGCAGACAAGGATGTTATTATTCGTCGTTCATGGTTGAATGATGTGAAACATATGTTACGCTGGTATGTGATTTTTAACAACAGATGTTGCCTACTGCAGGATGAACTGTTTAGAGCTGATAGAATTATCCAGTGTAAATATAGTTAGTTTGTGTAGGTTTCCTGCTGTAGTAACGCTGAATCAATAAGAGATGATCCAGTATGCCAATCTTGGTTATGCCATTGATCCTGGCTTCAAAATATATTGTTCTTTCTTATGTTACTTAAACATGTTTTTCTGAAATTATATAAATTTAATAATTCCGTAAAGACATTTCTATAATATAAGTGTTAGCAGTTGTCTTGTTTCTTTGTAGATACAGACAGAGCCACAGCATGGGCTTGCAAATCTTGCTATCATATTTGTTAGGAGATGCTGGCAGCCTTATATTGTGGGTTTAATATGTAATATATAATTTGTTGTGCCTAATAAAGCTATGAATCACAGACACGCCCGCTTAATCTAATTATGATGTCACTTTTGGTGGGCGGGGCTTTTTTTGCTACTTCCTTACGCTTTGATTTTCAACTTCCGATTTTTTGTGGGCGTAGTCAGACACGCCAATCTAATTATAACGTCTTCTCCGGTGGGCGGGGCTTATTTCCCTACTACCTTACACTTTGACTTTCAACTTCCGATTTTTTGTGGACGTGGTCAAACATGGCAATTCAATCTAATTATGATGTCACTTCCGGTGGGCGGGCTTATTTCACTACTTTCTTACGCTTTGACTTTCAACTTCCGATTTTTTGTAGGCGTGCTCAGACACGCCTACTTAATTTAATTTTGACATCACTTTTGGTAGGCGTGGCTTATTTCTCTACTTCCTTACGCTTTGACTTTCAACTTCCGATTTTTTGTGGCCATGGTCACACATGCCCACTTAAATCTAATTATGACGTCACTTCCACTGGGCGGCGGTTTTCTCGCTACTTCCTTACGCTTTGACTTTCAAGTTCCGATTTTTTGTGGAAGTGGTCAGACACGCCCACTTCAGCACGCCCATTTTTAGAATCACTTTTTTTCTCCAGATTCAAATTGGGATTCCCTTTTTTCTCAAGATTCATTTTCAGTTTCACTTTTTTCTCCAGATTTATTTTCGGATTTGACTTTTTTCTTGAGATTCATTTTTGCTGTCAGATTCGGATTCAATTTTTATCTCCAATTCAGATTCGGATTCACATTTTGTCAAGACTCATTTTTGGTTTCACTTTTTTCTGCAAATTCATTTTCCACTTCTGCGAAATAATTGTGAAATCACAATCAAAATTGTCAACTCACAATCAAAATTTTCAACTCACAATCAAAATTGTCAACTAATAATCGAAATTGTCAACTCACAATCAAAATTGGTTTCACTTTTTTCTCCAGGTTCATTTTACCCATCTCTTTTTTCTCCAGATTGATTTTGGATTCAGTTTTTTTCCTCCACATTCAGATTCTGATTAACTTTTTTCTCGAAATTCATTCCCGGATGGATTCACTTTTTTCTCGAGATTCATTTTTGGAATTCATATTTTTCTTTAGATTCAAATTGGGATTCACTTTTTTCTCGAAATTAAATTTTGGTTTCACTTTTTTCTGCAGATTCATTTTCGGATTCGACTTTTTTCTCTAGATTCATTTTCGCTTTCAGGTTCGGATTCAATTTTTTCTCCAATTCAGATTCGGATTCAATTTTGTCAAGACTCATTTTCGGTTTCACTTTTTTCTCCAAATTCATTTTCCGCTTCTGCGAAAAATTGTCAACTCACAATCAAAATTGTCAATTCACAATCAAAATTGTCAACTCACAATCAAAATTGTCAACTCACAATCAAAATTGTCAACTAGCAATCGAAATTGTCAACTCACAATCAAAATTGGTTTAACTTTTTCTCCAGGTTCATTTTACCCATCTCTTTTTTCTGCAGATTGATTTTGGATTCAGTTTTTTCTCAACATTCGGATTCGGATTCACTTTTTTCTTGAGATTCATTCTCGGATGGATTAACTTTTTTCTCAGATTCATTTTTGGTTTCAGTTTTTTTCTCCAGATTCAAATTAAGATTCACTTTTTTCTCGACATTCATTTTCGGTTTCACTTTTTTTTGCAATTTCATTTTTGGATTCGTCTTTTTTCTCTAGATTCATTTTCGCTTTCAGATTCGGATTCAATTTTTTCTCCAATTCAGATTCGGATTCACATTTTGTCAAGATTCATTTTCGGTTTCACTTTTTTCTCCAAAATCATTTTCCACTTCTGCGAAAAATTGTCAACTCACAATCGATTGGTTTCACTTTTTTCTCCACGTTCATTTTACCCATCTCTTTTTTCTTCAGATTGATTTTGGATTCAGTTTTTTCTCCAGATAAAGATTCGGATTCACTTTTTTCTCGAGATTCATTTTTAGATTCAGTTTTTTCCTCCAGATTCAAATTGGGATTCACTTTTTTCTCGAGATTCATTTTCGGATTCACTTTTTTCTTAAGATTCATTTTCGGATTCACTTTTTTCTTAAGATTCATTTTCGGATTCACTTTTTTTCTCGAGATTCATTTTCGGATTCACTTTTTCTTAAGATTCATTTTCGGAATCACTTTTTTTTCGAGATTCATTTCCGGATTCACTTTTTTCTTCAGATTCATTTTCGGAATAACTTTTTTTTTCATATTCATTATCGGATTCACTTTTTCTCGAGATTCATTTTCGGATTCACTTTTTTCTGTGATTCATTTTCGGAATAACTTTTTTCTCGAGATTCATTTTCATTTTCACTTTTTTCTCGAGATTCATTTTCGGATTCACTTTTTTCTCGAGATTCATTTTTCTATTCTTTTTTTTCTAAATTCATTTTTGGATTCACTTTTTTCATGAGGTTCATTTTCGGATTCACTTTTTTCATTGTATTCACTTTTTTTTTAAATTCATTTTCGGATTCACTTTTTTCATGAGGTTCATTTTCGGATTCACTTTTTTCTCGAGATTCATTTTCGGATTCACTTTTTTCTCGAGATTCATTTTCGAAATCACTTTTTCCTTGAGATTCATTTTCGGAATCACTTTCTTTCTCGAGATTCATTTTTGGAATCAATTTTTTCTCGAGAGTCATTTTCGGAATCACTTTTTTCTTAAGATTCATTTTTTGATTTACTTTTTTTCTCGAGATTCATTTTCGGATTCACTTTTTTTCTCGAGATTCATTATCGGATTCACTTTTTTCTCGAGATTCATTTTCGGATTCACTTTTTTCTCGAGATTCATTTACGGATTCACTTTTTTCTTGAGATTCATTTAAGGATTCACTTTTTTTCTCGAGATTGATTTTTTGATTCAATTTTTTTTCAGATTCATTTTCAGATTCACTTTTTTCTAGAGATTCATTTTCGCATTCACTTTTTTCTCAAGATTCATTTTTGGATTCACTTCTTTCTCAAGATTCATAGAAATAAAGAAAGTTAAAAAATGTTAATATATAAAGTTTAAGATTTTTTTTTGATGAAGAATTAATTTGTCTTGGGTTACCTGTTTCGAAGCAGACACAGGTAGCCCAAGATAGACACAGGTAGCCCAAGACAAAAGACATTTTTTTAAAAAAAAATCTCAGAGAATTAAAGAAAGCTAAAAAATGTTAAGATATAAAGTTTAAGATTTTTTTTTGATGAAGAGTTAATTTGTCTTGGGTTACCTGTTTCGAAGCAGACACAGGTAGCCCAAGATAGACACAGGCAGCCCAAGACAAAAGACATTTTTTTCAAAAAAAATCTCAGAGAATTAAAGAAAGCTAAAAAATGTTAAGATATAAAGTTTAAGATTTTTTTTTGATGAAGAGTTAATTTGTCTTGGGCTATCTGTTTCGAGGCAGACACAGGTAGCCCAAGATAGACACAGGTTGCCCAAGACAAAATTCTTTGTTGGTAAAAAAATCCAGATTAATTAAAGAAAATGTAAATGCTTAGAGCTTGATAAAATCACTAGGATTAGGATTTGGTGTAGAAATTTGTGTGAAAATGTGTGTGAAAATAGATTTAAAAATGGTGTAAAAATAATGTCAAAAAATAGTGTAAGTATGGTGTAAAATTGGTGTAAAAAAGTGTGTAAAAAGTGTGTAAAAAGTGTGTAAAAAGTGTGTAAAAAGTGTGTAAAAAGTGTGTAAAAGTGTTTAAAAAGGTGTGTAAAATTGGTGTAAAAAAGTGTGTAAAATTGTGTAAAAATGGTGTAAAAATAATGTGTAAAAATAATGTGTAAAAAAGTGTTAAAAATGGTGTAAAAATGGTGTAAAAATGGTGTAAAAAGGGTGTAAAGATGCAGTAAAAATGGTGTAAAAGTGGTGTAAAAATGGTGTTAAAATGGTGTAAAAAAGTGCGTAAAAAGTGTGTAAAAATGGTGTAAAAAAAGGCGTAAAAAGTGTGTAAAAAGCGTGTAAAAAAGTGTGTAAAAAGTGTGTAAAAAGTGTTTAAAATTGTTGCAAAATTGTTGCAAAATTGGTGTAAAAAAGGTGTAAAAAAGGTGTAAAAAAGGTGTAAAAAAGGTGTAAAAAAGGTGTAAGAAAGGTGTAAAAAAGTGTATAAAAAGAGTGTAAAAAAGTGTGTAAAAAGTGTGTAAAAATAATGTGAAAATAATGTAAATATGGTGTCAAATGTGTGTAAAATTGGTGTAAGAATGGTGTAAAAAAGTGTGTAAAAAAAGTGGAAAAACAATTTAAAAACGGTTAAAAATGGTGCAAAAGTGGTGTAAAATTGTGTAAAGATGGCGTTAAAATAGTGTAAAAATAATGTACAAATGGTGTAAAAATGTTGTAAAAATGGTGTTAAAAATGTGCAAAAAGTGTTTAAACAGTGTGTAAAAAGTGTGTAAAAAAGCGTGTAAAAAGTGTGTAAAAAGTGTGTAAAAAGTGTGTAAAAATGGTGTGAAAAGTGTGTGAAAATGGTGTTAAAAAGTGTAAAAATGGTGTAAAAAGTTGGAAAAAGTGTGTAAAAAAGTGTGTAAAAAAGTGTGTAAAAAAGTGTGGGGGGGAGGTGCAAAAAGTAGTTAAAAAGTTGTTAAAAAGTATTTAAAAAGTTAAAAAAAAAGTTGGAAAAAAATTTAGAGAAAGATGTGGAAAATGTTAGGAAAAAGTTGGGAAAAAGATGGGGAAAAATATGGGTAAAACATGGAAAAAAGGCTGGGAAAACGTTGGGAAAGAGTTAAAAAAAATGTTGTTAAAAAGTTGTAAAAAAGTTGGGAAAAAATTTGGAGAAAGATGTGGATAATGTTGGGAAAAAGGTAAGAAAAGCTGGGAAAAAGTTGGGAAAAAGTTGGGAAAAAGTTGGGAAAAAGTTGGGAAAAAGTTGGGAAAAAGTTGGAAAAAAAGTTAGAAAAAAAGTTGGGAAAAAGTTGGGAAAAAGTTGGGAAAAAAGTTGGGAAAAAGTTGGGAAAAAGTTGGAAAAAAAGTTGTTAAAAAGTTGGAAAAGAGTTGGGAAAAAGGTTGCAGAAATAATTAGAAAATGTTGGGAAAAAGCTAAGAAAAAGTTGGAGAAAAAGATGCGGAAAATGTTGGGAAAGAGATAGGGAGAAAATTGGGAGAAAGTTGGGAGAAAGTTATGGAAAAATTTGGGAGAAGGTTGAGAAAAATTTAGGGAAATGTTGGGAAAATGATGGGAAAGAAGTTATGGAAAGGTTGGAAGAAAGTTGGAAGGAAGTTGGGAAATGGTGTGGAAAAATGTTGGGAAAATTGTGAGAGAAAATTTGGAGAAATGTGAGAAAGGGTTGGGATATGTCGAGAGAAGTTGTGAAAAAATTGAGAAGGAATGGAAGGGGGGGGAGGAGAAGAAGAAAGAAAGGAGAGAGAAGAAAGGGGAGGGGGAAGGAGGGGGAAGGAGGGAGCAGGAAGAGAAGGCAGAGGAGGAGAAAGAAGGGAGGAAAGGAGAGGAGAGGAGAGGGAGAGGGAAAGAAGAAAAGGGAGGGGAAGGAGGAGGGAGGGAGAAGGAGGAAAAGGAGAAGGGGGAGAGGGAAGGAGAGGTGAGAAGGGAGAGAGGGAGGAAAGGAGGGGAAAGGAGGGAAAGGGGAGAGAAAGGGAAGAAGAGAGAGGGGGGAGAAGAGAAGGGAAGGAAAAATGAGAGGGGAGAGAAAAGAGAAGGAAGGGAAAAAAGAGGAAGGAGGAAAAAAAAAGGGGAGGGAGAAGAGGGAGAGGAGAGAGAAGGGGGAAAAAGGGGGAAAAGGGGGAAAGGGGGAGAGAGAGAGGAGGGAAGGAGAAAGAGAGGGGAAAGGCAAGGGGAGAGGAAAAGAAAAAAAAGGGAAAGAAAAGAGAAGAGAGAAAAGGAAAGGGAAGAGGAAGAGGGGGGGAAAAAAGAGGGAAGGGGAAGGAGAAAAAAAGGGAGAAGGAAAAAAAAAGGAGAAAGAAAAAGAGAAGAGAAAGAAAAGGGGGGAAGGAAAGAAGGAGAAGAGAGGAGAAAAAGAAGAAAGAGAAAAAAAAGGGGGGAAGAGGGGGAGAAAGGGGGAAGGAGGGGAAGGAGAGAGAAAGAGGAGAGAAGGGGAAAGGAAAGAGGGAGAGGGGAAAGAGAGGAAAGGGAGAAGGGGAGAGGAAAGAGAAGAAAAGGGAGGGGAAAGAGGAAAGAGGAGGGAGAGGGGGAAGAAAAAGAAGAGGGAGAGGGGGAAAGAAAAAGGAGAGGGAAAGGGGGAAGAAGAGGAGAGAGAGAAGGGGAAAGGAAAGGAGAAGGGAAAGGAAAAGAAAAGAAAAGGGAGGGAAAAAAGGAGAGAAGGGAAAGAGGAAAAGGAGAGGAAGGGGAAGGGGAAGGGAAGAGAAGAGGGAAAGGGGAAGGGGGAAAAAAAGAAGGGGAAAAAAGGGAAGGGAAAGGACAAAAGGAGAGGGGAAGGAAAAGGAGGGAAGGGGAGAAGGGGAGGGTTAGGGTTAGGGTTAGGGTTTAGAGTTTTAGAGGCTTTTCGGGTGAAGGAAATATCACAAAACTAAGCAAGGAATGTTGAAACGGAGTTACACTAATCACGAAGTAAACTCACGAAATCATACTCCATGCTTGCGTGACCATTTCATTCTTGAACAATATATAGATAGATGGTATTATCATTACTGCAAGACCTATGGGTGCAAACTGACTTGTCCGTAGCACCGCACGTCAGCCTTGGCAGCGAGATAAAGACCAAATAATTAGCCGAACATATAATCAAAATTCGAACACAAAAGTAACTTATATATTACACTAAACTTAAAAGATTTTAAAAACCATCAACGGATTTGATGTATCTTAAGAAAGCTCGCTTCATCGATGTATATAGGCTCGCTTTTTGCTTAAATCTACCCATACTAAATTGAAACTTCAGTTGTATACCACGCTCGTTTCTAAACCAAACGATAGCTCCCCTGTTAATTATAGAATTATAAATCCAAACGCAACGCAACGCAAAACCAAACACGATTTATAAAGTCCCGAGAATGCGATACAGAAAGAATTATGCATGAAAGTCACGTTGTAGATTTGTAGTATTTTAAGAAACCTCGCTTCATATCAAACAGAAACGGAAATCGAAACACAACGCAACGCAAAACACAACGCAACGCAAAACCAAACGCAATGTATAATTAAATGCAATACAGAAAAAAATTAATGATTACCTGATCGGGACCGAATGCATGGAATAACGTTCAATCCGGTGGTGTCCGCACTGGGAAAAGGTAAAATCGCACGTTAGAAACATACAGTTGTGAAACCTTGCTACTGTTAATAACACCTAATCCCAAAAAATTTGTTTTAAACTTCATTAATCTTACAATTGGCACTAGGTATGCCAGGGCGATCCAGGATGGATCGATCATCATCAATGCCGAATGGAATACGTAAAAATTATCATCATTACCTGAGGGATTCGATAATGTTTGCCGGGTCCGTAGGCTGCCACTCGAGCCAATATTGTTTTAACTGAATAAGCTGAAAAAACAAGGGCGATGTTTGTTAGTTCGGAAAGACCTTTGAAATTTGATATGCTGGCGTTACAGGACACCACAGAGACTGGTGTTTAAGAAGTTTCAACCCAGAATTGTGCATTTCTGTACCGCAATCAAAGAGAAACCTTTTGAATATCTTAAAAACGTTCAATTTCTCTTCTGAATACGCATTCTGCAACCTTTTGACAGCTCATACACATATGACCGCTATGAAATGGCTATTTTGACGCTTAAAGTATACAAAATGTTATTAATTCAGACGATTCGTTTTTACCGTGTGCAAGCTTCAAATCTTTTGTGCAAGGCATATTTTCTTGAATATTCATAAATATTTTTCTCACCAAGTTTGAAGTCTAAGTATTGAGAATTGCGGCTAAGTCTATACCAATTTCCGCGGTGTCGCGTTACACAGGCATAACAATGACACTCTTGATACCTGAAGGATGGATGACAGACTGAAGGTCTCACGGTTTTGGGAAGAAAATTTTTCTATTATTCAACAAACTAAAGATGTTCAGTGTCCAACACCCGAGGAGGTTTATTCCGACTTTATTCTACAAACAGGGCTAACACATATTGATTTGGACAATTTTAAGGCAAGATGAAGAATGAATTTACGTTTTCTCCCTTTTATTTGCGCAATTAATTAATCACCGATTATTTCCATGATATTATAGGTTATAACGTGCAGTCTTGGCAGAGGAATACGCTTAAATAAGAAACGTCGGAAAAACCAGAAACGATTCTACAATGTCGCTCCAAAGCGCAAAAAACTACGACCAGAAGAACAGGATTATGACAGCCAGGTGTTGGACGACTTGGTCGCAGCAGACGACAAACAGCAACCAGCTGACGTCATTCACGTCGGAAACGTTATTAGACAAGAGGACGAACTGTTAGGCAATTATCTGCAACATCAAGCGTCAATGCAAATTAACGCAATGACAGTTTCAGCCTTGCGAGAGAAACAAAATGCACCATCGAGAAGAAAACAAATGTTCGAGATTCTTAGGGGTAAAGGCCTGTATAAGAAATTTGCTATGAGTAAGTTTAAAACGTTCACGTCATGGCTCAAATCGCCATCTGGTGGCCAACTTGCATGCCCTGATGAAATATCAAGTGAAGTTAGCAGGTTGGTATTTAGTAAATACTGTCCGCAGGCACCAGCAAAATTGCAAAATAGAGACTTTTTTTCGTTCTTTTATTAGATTCCTATATTTTTCATTTCCGAGCAAGCTGAAATGGAATAGGTTGTTGGATGCCAAAGCATTTAACAACTATCTCATTACTACAAAAGATGCTGGCTTAGGCCCCGATGGTCTGAAAACGAAGATAGAAAGAATTACAATAGCACTTAAGTTCCTCGCCCATAGAAAACCAAAGCTTCACAGTAAATGCAGAAGAGCAATTGCAGAATATTCTGAATGGCTTAAACCTCTTGCCAAACAGAAAAAGGTGCTGAGAATGCAAAATTCTTGGAGGGACGAGTTATGTGGTTTTAACCTAACCATGGAAGATCTCGACACCGCTGTTTCCGAAGATACAATTGCCCAATTCATTGCAATCATGAAACAAGCAATGTCAAAAACGAGACTAACCCAAAAGGAGTACAGGCTGATTGTCGATACACTTATCACAATAACCATAACGCAGGAAAGTGCTATAAGACCAGGGGCATTTCAATTTATGACTCTGCAAGAAATAGACAACCCTGGTAACATATATATCACCTACTGATGGCACAGTATACAACATAGTCTTTGTGATGAATCATAAAACATTTGCAACCCATGGCCCGCTCCCCGTGCCATTTCCAGAAACAGTATGGATACAGCTTCATAACTACTTGAAATATGTAAGACCCCAGGTGGAACCAAAATCACCCTACAAGCAAAATGTGTTCTTGAATGCATCCGGAGGTATGTTAGCCAAGCCAGGAAAAGCAGTCACAAAGATTACCAGAAAACATGACAAACACATTACGGCAACGAAGATTCGACATGCCGTGGCGACTGCTGGAAATGAACATTTAACTGATATTGAACGGAGAGCAATAGCAAAAGGTATTGGTCATTCCATGGAAGTGCACAATAAAGTATACACAGACTTAACTATTAACAATGTGCGTTCAAGCATCGAGGCACAGCGAAAACTGCACAACAGAGAAAAGATTAACACACTGTGAAAATTGTTGCCCACTTGGTTGAAAAATAATCATAGTTTATATAAAATAATACTTACAGAAGACATTTTGGTATATTTGTATTCCCTTACCACACCAAAAAGAAATGCTAAAAATAAATACAGAATGCATATCTTAAAATTCTTCCCCCTTCTTATAAAAAATTCAATGTTCCTGAATAGGGAGGGGATTGCAGGAGTATTAATTAGAATAGCCCAAGCAACTAATTATTATTATTATTATTATTGTAAGCACTGCAGGTTTTGACTGATCTATATAGCAAATCGTAAACAGTAGCACTATTAAATTCGCTGATTAAGCGTCCGTTACCAGGCCTTCTGAGTTCTGACCGTGGATTTTTGTCGCACGACAAAAATCCACGGTCAGAACTCAGAAGGCCTGGTAACGGACGCTTCGTATTGACTACCGGCCGTAATTCAGTTGAAAACAGGTCATTTTTAGATTTTAATGAATGAATTGGAATTGTCAATAATTGAATAAATGTATTTGGATTTTTGGAATAAACAATTGGAACCAGTAACACTTGTTTAATATATGAATTGGTATACTACACTGGCGGAACTGGCGGTAAAAAAGAACTGCTCAAATGTTGCTATTATCGTATGTAACAGGAATCTTAACAATCAATCTTTTATTGTACACTGGCGGTCAAAAAGAACTGCTTAGATACAAATTCATAAAGAAGAAGGGAATATAGGACAGAGCTTCATATAGGCATTTTGGATAATTCTTCTATTCCAAGCAATATTTCAATAATGCAATGCAACCTGCCACACTTCCAAGATATTCAAACAATAGTTTTAATGAGAAGAGGGAGTGACAGAAATGGATTGGCCTGCACAGTCAAAAGACCTTAACCCTTATTTAAAATCTGTAGGACAATGTCAAGGGGATAGTGCATGCAAGAAAGGAATTAATTCATAAAGAGTCCATGATTCATGGATTGCTGTAAGGCCTGTCCATACGATGAATTTCTTTCAACTGTGAAGGTTACCACCTCAACGGAAAGCATGCCACGCCGGTGTAAGGCTGTTCTCAATTATAAGGCCAAAGGAGGGTGAACAGAATATATATGGTTAAAGGGACAGTTACGTTCATTTGAGAGCATTTTAATTTGTTTTGAGCAGTTCTTTTTCATTGACTTTTAGTCCTTCATCATTTCTTACAGCCAATTGTAAGTGTCGGGGTATGACTCACGACTTATTGTTCTTCCTGATTTTAAATACTCATTGTCTTTTGTGGAAAACAACGAAAATTTAATTTAATGAATGCCTTTTATTTGGGAGTATAATTGTTTAATTTTCTATCATTTCTTCTTTCTTCATTCATCATTCCTAACTGCAAATGTCGAGGAATTATTCGCGATTTCTTGTTCTTCCTGATTTTCAATACTCATTGTCTTTCTTGGAGAACAACAACATTTTAATTTAATTTTCATTTTAATTTTTTTATCATTTCTTCAACCTTCATTCTTACTTCCAACTGCAGATGACTGGTTGTTCATCATGATTTTCAATACTCATGCATGGTCTTTCTGGGGACCAACGACATTTTAATTTCATGATAAAACAATAATTAAATTAAAAATAAACTATAGAATTATAAAATTATAAAATTAAATGTTATGATATGTTATAAAACTATAAAAATTTAAAATAAAAAATTAATATATATTAAAAATACATTAAACATAATTCATAGAGATGTGTTGGACAAGTTCTTTACCATTTAAATGATTTTTGTTACGTTAGAATGAACTTTAGGGATGAGGCCATCTTTTGTTGGATTCTACTGGGTTTTTTAGTCCTTCATCATTTCTTACTGCCAGTTGTAAGTGTCGGGGTATGAATGCCTTTTATTTGGGAGTATAATTGTTTAATTTTCTATCATTTCTTCTTTCTTCATTCATCATTCCTAACTGCAAATGTCGAGGAATTATTCGCGATTTCTTGTTCTTCCTGATTTTCAATACTCATTGTCTTTCTTGGAGAACAACAACATTTTAATTTAATTTTCATTTTAATTTTTTTATCATTTCTTCAACCTTCATTCTTACTTCCAACTGCAGATGACTGGTTGTTCATCATGATTTTCAATACTCATGCATGGTCTTTCTGGGGACCAACGACATTTTAATTTCATGATAAAACAATAATTAAATTAAAAATAAACTATAGAATTATAAAATTATAAAATTAAATGTTATGATATGTTATAAAACTATAAAAATTTAAAATAAAAAATTAATATATATTAAAAATACATTAAACATATTCATAAGATGTGTTGGACAAGTTCTTTACCATTTAAATGATTTTTGTTACGTTAGAATGAACTTTAGGGATGAGGCCATCTTTTGTTGGATTCTACTGGGTTTTTTAGTCCTTCATCATTTCTTACTGCCAGTTGTAAGTGTCGGGGTATGAATGCCTTTTATTTGGGAGTATAATTGTTTAATTTTCTATCATTTCTTCCTCCTTTATCCATCTTTCTTCATTCATTATTCCTAACTGCAAATGTCGAGGAATTATAAAATTAAATGTTGTGATATGTTATAAAATTAAAAATTATATACTATTATGATTAAGCAACTCAGGGGTGCAGATATGAACACTTGGATTAGTCTTGTTATCTAGTTTTTGAAAAAAAATTACTGCTCAATTTTGGTGGTGTGGCTAACCATTGCTTAATGTCTATCTTTCTTCTTTATTTATTTCCTATATTAAGTCTATCTTTTTCTTTCTTATGCCTGTACACATATCTTGAATTGTGCATGCGTGCGAGTAAAGATATGTTTGGTCATTGTATGTATGCATGTGTCTTTCATTCCAAATTTTTCACCTGGACAATATGGTGAAACATCACTCAAAACAAGCAATTGAAGAACACTAAATGGGCACCATTAATGGATGAATGGAACCAATTAATGAACGGAATGGAATTATAAACCAGTATTGGATTTTTTTGACATGCCTTATGGCTTCATTGATATAAGCTCTTACAAAGCTTGCATTCTTAATAATATGGTTGAACATCTTATTCTCAGACGTTAATCTTCATTCAATTATATTTGACTGGATGGAAATCTTGGATAGGAATTATAACCAGTATTGGATTAAACCAGCAGAGTGAAGCACGTTTGTTGTAAAGAGTCGGATTTGGAGAATTTTGACACGCGTGTTTTTCGTTCGCAAGTTTTTTAACTTCCGACAACATGCTAAGCAAGACATTTTCGTACAGTTTGTAACATTTATTTTGCAATATGTAAGCTGCAGCTAGGTGTAGTGGTGTTTCCTGTCTATGAATGGTGTCTCCTTCATGGATTTTTATGCTCTCACAAGCATGCCTTGATAATAACAATGGGTGAATGTTATTTCAGACATTAATCTTCATTCATTTATATTTGACTGGATGGAAATCTTGGATAGGAATTATAAACCAGTATTGGATTAAACCAGCAGAGTGAAGCACGTTTGTTGTAAAGAGTCGGATTTGGAGAATTTTGACACGCGTGTTTTTCGTTCGCAAGTTTTTAACTTCCGACAACATGCTAAGCAAGACATTTTCGTACAGTTTGTAACATTTATTTTGCAATATGTAAGCTGCAGCTAGGTGTAGTGGTGTTTCCTGTCTATGAATGGTGTCTCCTTCATGGATTTTTATGCTCTCACAAGCATGCCTTGATAATAACAATGGGTGAATGTTATTTTCAGACATTAATCTTCATTCATTTATATTTGACTGGATGGAAATCTTGGATAGGAATTATAAACCAGTATTGGATTAAACCAGCAGAGTGAAGCACGTTTGTTGTAAAGAGTCGGATTTGGAGAATTTTGACACGCGTGTTTTTCGTTCGCAAGTTTTTTAACTTCCGACAACATGCTAAGCAAGACATTTTCGTACAGTTTGTGACGGCGCAGGGCTGCGATGGCCGCCCCGTGTGCTCGATATCCGTCCATGCATCGATCCGCCGCTTTTCGGTTCTGCAAAATGCGAGCAAACAAACGGCGATTAACCTATCTGTGTACTATTAATATATCTGTGAGACGAACGAACGTTCGCGGCCAAACGATGGATTATTATTACACACGTAGATTACAGCTATGAATGATTCTGGCAAAGAGCTTGCTTGCTTGCAAGAAAGTCGGCCGGGCGTGCCCTCGTTTCACGTGCAAGTACGAGTCAATTCCTTCTGCATGCATGGAGATTAAGATTTCGATCGAGTGCAGCCTAGCTCCGATTAAAACTCTCGTCCAGCCTCTCTGCATGCAATATTGCATGCATGATATAGTTTAAATGCGGAACAACGGAGAAAAAAACGCTATTCCAAGCTATGCAGCTGCGAGAATTGCACTCACCCGCTGGAGGTAGGCGAAATTTCGTCTCCAGTCGCCTGTTCGCGTGACGGCGCAGGGCTGCGATGGCCGCCCCGTGTGCTCGATATCCGTCCATGCATCGATCCGCCGCTTTTCGGTTCTGCAAAATGCGAGCAAACAAACGGCGATTAACCTATCTGTGTACTATTAATATATCTGTGAGACGAACGAACGTTCGCGGCCAAACGATGGATTATTATTACACACGTAGATTACAGCTATGAATGATTCTGGCAAAGAGCTTGCTTGCTTGCAAGAAAGTCGGCCGGGCGTGCCCTCGTTTCACGTGCAAGTACGAGTCAATTCCTTCTGCATGCATGGAGATTAAGATTTCGATCGAGTGCAGCCTAGCTCCGATTAAAACTCTCGTCCAGCCTGTCTGCATGCAATATTGCATGCATGATATAGTTTAAATGCGGAACAACGGAGAAAAAAACGCTATTCCAAGCTATGCAGCTGCGAGAATTGCACTCACCCGCTGGAGGTAGGCGAAATTTCGTCTCCAGTCGCCTGTTCGCGTGACGGCGCAGGGCTGCGATGGCCGCCCCGTGTGCTCGATATCCGTCCATGCATCGATCCGCCGCTTTTCGGTTCTGCAAAATGCGAGCAAACAAACGGCGATTAACCTATCTGTGTACTATTAATATATCTGTGAGACGAACGAACGTTCGCGGCCAAACGATGGATTATTATTACACACGTAGATTACAGCTATGAATGATTCTGGCAAAGAGCTTGCTTGCTTGCAAGAAAGTCGGCCGGGCGTGCCCTCGTTTCACGTGCAAGTACGAGTCAATTCCTTCTGCATGCATGGAGATTAAGATTTCGATCGAGTGCAGCCTAGCTCCGATTAAAACTCTCGTCCAGCCTCTCTGCATGCAATATTGCATGCATGATATAGTTTAAATGCGGAACAACGGAAAAAAAACGCTATTCCAAGCTATGCAGCTGCGAGAATTGCACTCACCCGCTGGAGGTAGGCGAAATTTCGTCTCCAGTCGCCTGTTCGCGTGACGGCGCAGGGCTGCGATGGCCGCCCCGTGTGCTCGATATCCGTCCATGCATCGATCCGCCGCTTTTCGGTTCTGCAAAATGCGAGCAAACAAACGGCGATTAACCTATCTGTGTACTATTAATATATCTGTGAGACGAACGAACGTTCGCGGCCAAACGATGGATTATTATTACACACGTAGATTACAGCTATGAATGATTCTGGCAAAGAGCTTGCTTGCTTGCAAGAAAGTCGGCCGGGCGTGCCCTCGTTTCACGTGCAAGTACGAGTCAATTCCTTCTGCATGCATGGAGATTAAGATTTCGATCGAGTGCAGCCTAGCTCCGATTAAAACTCTCGTCCAGCCTCTCTGCATGCAATATTGCATGCATGATATAGTTTAAATGCGGAACAACGGAAAAAAAACGCTATTCCAAGCTATGCAGCTGCGAGAATTGCACTCACCCGCTGGAGGTAGGCGAAATTTCGTCTCCAGTCGCCTGTTCGCGTGACGGCGCAGGGCTGCGATGGCCGCCCCGTGTGCTCGATATCCGTCCATGCATCGATCCGCCGCTTTTCGGTTCTGCAAAATGCGAGCAAACAAACGGCGATTAACCTATCTGTGTACTATTAATATATCTGTGAGACGAACGAACGTTCGCGGCCAAACGATGGATTATTATTACACACGTAGATTACAGCTATGAATGATTCTGGCAAAGAGCTTGCTTGCTTGCAAGAAAGTCGGCCGGGCGTGCCCTCGTTTCACGTGCAAGTACGAGTCAATTCCTTCTGCATGCATGGAGATTAAGATTTCGATCGAGTGCAGCCTAGCTCCGATTAAAACTCTCGTCCAGCCTCTCTGCATGCAATATTGCATGCATGATATAGTTTAAATGCGGAACAACGGAGAAAAAAACGCTATTCCAAGCTATGCAGCTGCGAGAATTGCACTCACCCGCTGG